ATTCAACATATATTTACTGAAAGCCTACTATGCGTTCATCGCTAGCCCAGGGACTGGTGAGATAATGATGGTTAAGATACACATAGTTCCCATCCTCACGGAACTTAAAATTTTACTTGGCAAGACAAATGGGTAACAAGGCGTTGAGCTCAATCAAGTGAGAATATTTGCTTCTTAAAAACTTGGAGAGAAACAAAAAGTCAACAGCCTTCTCTGGACCAGTGAGAAAGGAGGGTCTTCATTCTATATTGAGAGTAAATAATTATAATATGAAAGTGTTAGAAAACATGAAAATGATATCTAAATGTATCACAAAACTTTAAGGAGCGCAAACTAAAGCAACCTTAAATGATTTAACAAGCTGGAAACATGGAAAGGAAAAAAAATAAGCCATTAATGGTGAGATAAATTTTGGTTAAAAACATGTTTTATTCTTCACCTGAGCCAATTTGGAAAGCTTTCTTTTGACCTTCGATATATCGTGGACAAATGGAGGACATTCCTCCATTTAAAGTTCATTAAGAATAAAAACTGGAAATTAAGTGCATCCACTCTCCACTGTGAACTCAGAAAAGGATAGAAAAACATGGGAGACCCATATGGATCCTATGCTAATAGAAACATGTACCACAAGGGTAAAGCAACATTTCATCAATATTTCCAAGCTTAAAACAAACAAAAAACACAGGGGTTTTCTCACTGGAAACTTACTACACAGGATATAGGAAGTCCAAAGTCAAAGTATAAAGAAAAAGCTTTTCCAATAAAGTATCTGCATTTGCATAGGACAAATGAGGCTATACAACAAACCAATGAGAAGTGATTTCTTTTTTAAATCAGAGACTTTACACAGGTTGCCAAATACTAAGAGTTCGATGGATTAAGATGACACCAGTAGGTATTTCTGTAGTAGGCCAAAGGCATTCAGATTTCAACGGTTTTATAAGAAGATACTCCTGAAGGAAAACTTCAACAGTATTAACCTTCCAATTTTTGAGAAGTAATCCTTCTCCATAACTATTATTGCTTATTCTAACCTACTAGTCTAAATTCTAAAAAAAAAAATCTACATGATCATAAGAGAGTAAATTTCTGCAAGTCTGCTTCTAATTACACTAAATTTAGAGTTGTTCTGGTAGATTTATTTGGCTGCTTATATTGAATACAATATTTCCAGAGCTTTAAATAGGGACTATTATTTTGTCTTGAACACCACAAAAACTTTAAAATGTCTGCTCTTTATTAAATACACTAACTAAGGTATGAAAGGAGGCATGGGTGATTGAAATCCACAAGTACTCCAAGTGCTTCTTTCAGTCATTACTGTTTAATTCTTCTCTTTTAGTCATATCCTAATAATTCCCTATTTCTGCCAAGTATACATCGATTCTCTCACTCAAGTGTGAAAGTTTGCTAGCATCTTGACATGCTATTATTGAGGTTTTCTGTTTTAAAAAAAAAATAAAAACAAAAACATTTATTCTAAGTGGAATTATTGATTTTAAATATTGTGATTTGACAGCCATGACTCCATCTAGTTGATGAGAATAGCAGAGGCAGGGTGTATGCGCCAGTGGGCAATGGTGATGATGTACATGGCCCGAAGTGCTTGGGCCTGTGAGTCAACTGCCTTGGTTAAAACCCTGGCTCCTCTTCCTCTACTTGTCTCCACATTCATTATCTCTTATGCTGTCTAACTATAACAATATCTATCAATTAGAATCAGTCATTAGATAAATTTTTTCAAGGAAGTGTTACTAGGACTAAGTGAAATTGAAGGAAAGCCTTGAGGACAGGGGAGGAAATCATATCCAAAGTATGCTATATGAATTCACAGGTTACTGAAACTTAGTTTTGCTACAAGTATACCAAATTTCCTTCTCTCCCTTGCCTCATTTCTCTACCCTCCCTTCTTTTGTCTTTATTTTTTAGTAAGAGACTAAAAAATCTTTTTTTTTTTTTTCAAAGAAAGCCATCTATAAATGTTTATTTTCTCAGGATTGGCACCCTGGACCAATCCACCAGAAACTGGAATTATCACAAGAAAGTATGTTTTTTCGAGTCCATTTAAAAAAAACAAAACAAAACAACAACAACAAAAAACCTATGGGTTTAGTGGTAGGTGAAATAAGGAATATTTCAGATTCTTTGAAACATCTCAAAATTATTTTTCAAAAAATTTGGTTTTGGCAATATCCTCTACATGCCTTTTCCCAAGAATTTCTTCTTTCAAAACTATAAAATGGACAAGTGAAGGGAAATATTTTCTTTTCTTAGTCTAGATTTCTTAATTAAAGTCATACGAAAGGTATTTTTGAGAACTTATAAATGTTTTTAAAGGTCTTTTTAGTTCAGTTTAGACAAATAAAAATAAATACAAAGAAATAGATATATGGCCAAAAAGTACATGAAAAAGTTCTTAATACCTTAGTACAATAGAAATGGTAATGAGATATGACTACGCAAGAATAACTAAAATGAAAAATGTCGACAACATGAAATGCTGGTGAGAATGTGGAGCAACCAGAACTCTCATAAATTGCTTGTGGGAGTATAAATGGAAGAGTTAGACGAAAACAAAACAAAACAAAACAAAAAAATGTTAAATATACATCTTTCCTATGAACCAGCACTTGTAATTTTAGGTATTTACCTAAGATAAATTAAAAGATATATCTACAAATGTGTTATACAAAAATGTTTATAAAATCTATATTCACAATAACCAAAAACAAGTCATAATTTGAGTGTCTACCAGCAAGAGAACAGATAAATTCTGGAATATTTAACTAAAAAATCTTTTTTTTTTTTTTTTCAAAGAAAGCCATCTATAAATGTTTATTTTCTCAGGATTGGCACCCTGGACCAATCCACCAGAAACTGGAATTATCACAAGAAAGTATGTTTTTTCGAGTCCATTTAAAAAAAACAAAACAAAACAACAACAACAAAAAACCTATGGGTTTAGTGGTAGGTGAAATAAGGAATATTTCAGATTCTTTGAAACATCTCAAAATTATTTTTCAAAAAATTTGGTTTTGGCAATATCCTCTACATGCCTTTTCCCAAGAATTTCTTCTTTCAAAACTATAAAATGGACAAGTGAAGGGAAATATTTTCTTTTCTTAGTCTAGATTTCTTAATTAAAGTCATACGAAAGGTATTTTTGAGAACTTATAAATGTTTTTAAAGGTCTTTTTAGTTCAGTTTAGACAAATAAAAATAAATACAAAGAAATAGATATATGGCCAAAAAGTACATGAAAAAGTTCTTAATACCTTAGTACAATAGAAATGGTAATGAGATATGACTACGCAAGAATAACTAAAATGAAAAATGTCGACAACATGAAATGCTGGTGAGAATGTGGAGCAACCAGAACTCTCATAAATTGCTTGTGGGAGTATAAATGGAAGAGTTAGACGAAAACAAAACAAAACAAAACAAAAAAATGTTAAATATACATCTTTCCTATGAACCAGCACTTGTAATTTTAGGTATTTACCTAAGATAAATTAAAAGATATATCTACAAATGTGTTATACAAAAATGTTTATAAAATCTATATTCACAATAACCAAAAACAAGTCATAATTTGAGTGTCTACCAGCAAGAGAACAGATAAATTCTGGAATATTTACATAATGAACTACTACTCAAGTTTAAAAAAGAAATTGATTATTGATACCTACAGTGTCATGAATAAATCTCAAAAACATGCTGATTGATAGATAATAGACACAAAAAGTGAAATACTGTGTGATTTCATTTTTTTGGAATTCTAGAATAAGCAAAACTAATGTATGGTAATAGAAATCAAATCAGTGGTTGCTTCTTGAGGAAGGTACTTTCTGGGATGATGAAAACGTTCACTTTCTGGATGAGATGTAAGATATATGATTATATGCAATTTGTTGTAACTAATCAAACTGTATACCTAAGATCTTTGCATTTACTGGGTTTATTATACTTAAGTAACAATTTTTTTTATTATTTTAAAAAAGGGAAGAAAACAACTTCTAAAAGTAAAAAATCACTGAGTGTATTTAAAATAAAAAATCTTTTTAAGTAAAATGCCTTGGCTGAAGCTTGAAATTTTTGAATGCTTATCGGATTCTAAGTTTTGAATTGTGAAGCTAATGTAGTAAATATTCATGATAAATATTTTATAACCTATTTAGAATATAGTTCAGCATTTAGCACGGTGCCTTGCACATAGACAGTTCCAAATGCATGGGTTGGGTGGATGAATGGCAGTAACTGAAAAACATACTTAGATTTTTCTTATTTTGCTCGGCAAAATAAGAAAATGACAGCATCATTTCCAGCTGTGCTTTTCCTCTGCCTACGTCTTTCCCTGTGTGCATCTCTCCTGTTTTCTAAGCCACTGATTCTTAAACTTAAGTGGGCATCAGAATCACCTGGAGGGTTTGTTGAATGACAGATGACTGGGCCCCATCTTTAGAGTTTCTGATTCAGTAGGCTTGGAGTGGGACCCCAGAATTTCCATTTGTGACAAGTTTCCAGGTGATGTTGAGGTTAATGCTGCTTGGTTTAGGGACCACACCTTGAGAACTACTGCTTCTGGCTCTTCAATTGTCAGATCAAAGATTTATCCTTTTCCATTTCAAGATCAACCTTTCCAACTTTTACCAGTCTTTCTAATTGCCTTCCGCCTCATTCTCTGAGCTTTTATTACACTTCTCACTGATACATCCCACTTGCTATTTGGCTTATTCTTCTTTGTAATTTATTCTTTGGAAAGAAAAAACACTGCATGTGTTTTTTATTCAGGTAGGTAATAATTCCCTTAAGGTTAGGGCCTCTGACTTAGGTCTTTTCATTTCCCTCACACCCAGAATAGGCTGGACAGCTAAAAGGCGATTATAAATGTTGCTGTTCCTAATATTTACACATTCTTCTAAAGCATGTACAAATACTGTTAAAAGCAAGCACTAATTTTCAGATGAAAAATAAAGTTTTCCATAATGGTGAATTACCTGTCATTGGGACAGTGAGTTGGCAATGTCCAGTCGTGATGTGGGTTAATGAGGAAACCCCAGGACAGGAAGACTGAGCTTGGTGTCAGAGTGCCAACCACCAGCTGAAGAGGTTTGCGAGAGCGTGTTTTACCTATGGAGGTAACATACAGGTTAATTCTCGTAACATTTAGTATATTTCCATGATTGGGCAAAATGCATAAAGATGACTTGATAACATAATAGAGAGTGTGAAAGTACCAAGTTTCTTTTCTTTTTATAAAGCATACAAATATTACTAATTTTTTGAAAATGAATTTATTCATGAATCAAATGAAATATCCTTTTTTGATATTTGTGTGTATGTGTGAATATACATGTGCATATGTGTGCATATGCATATATGTATAATGTATGCATATAAACTATATCCAGTTATACCTAGTTTTTTATTTTCTTGTGTGTCAGGGATGAATATGTAGGTCTTGATTATTACCAGTGAAATAAACACACACACACATTTCCATATACATATATATATTCACATGTACATATATGTATATACGTATGCACATACAGTCATTCACTTCGTTTCTCTTACAGACAAAATAAAAGCACACCTCTATTTTTTTCTGGGACTGTGAATTGGTGTGAAATGACATCTAAGAAACTTACCATCTAGGTTGTAGGTGATATTCTTTTTTTAAAAAAACCTATTCGGAAGTATAATCACCATCATATCATTGTGATAAGAATATTATTTACAGTGAGTATCTAAATGGAAAATGTGCACATGACCATCAAGTAATTATTTCACTAAGTTTGGATCTTAATATAAAAATGAGTAAATTAAAATTTATGTGGTAGATGCAAATACAAAATGAATGAAAGCTAATCCATTAACCATCACGTCATTCTCAAATGCAGATTAGAAAAACAAAAGTTATATCTGTTGCCTGAAAGAAAGGGTGGGGTATTATATCCTGAGCAAGATGAAATAATTTCCTGAGCTAGTCATCACAAAGTAAAAAGTAATTTCTAAGGCCAGTGTCATAGATGCCCAAAATGAAATGACATTCTAAAGTGCTACTAAGATATAATCACTCTCTTGACTTATATATTTGTATCACAATCATATTTGCATTAAGAAAAAGTTCAGTGACTATAAAGCCAGAACCCCATAGAATTGGACTTACGCTTCTTGATTTTATTGTTATATATTTTAAAATAGAGTCTTGAAATATTGAGAGGACATTTATTTTAAAGTGCATGGAAAGCTGCCTGGACAACTATTATTAACAAGTTGTAAGGAGTGATTGAAATTTGCACTTTGGGATAATATAAAAGGTCAGAAAAAAGAATTCGTATTTTTCAAAATGTTTGACCATTTACTGCTTCTCTTAAAAGAAGTGGAAAACAACACAAGGTTGGTAGAGTAGGGGATTGTAACAATTCATTTCTGGTAACCAGGCTTGACTGATAATTTTAGAAGACAGAATACATTGTTGCCAAGGGCCCATTTAGTAGGTATATTTGAAGATTTGTATGCTCCACACCGAATTCGTCCCTTTAGAAAGATATAACAACAAAAAGATTTTTTGTGTGACATCCAGTATACTAAAACATAAGTATGATTTGGAAAGAATTATTTTGAGAACAGTTCATACTAGAAAAGGAAAAAGAAAAGCAAAACAAGATCAACTCTATCTACAGAGTTAGAAAGGTATGATACCAGATGGTAAAAGTATATTCACAGCTTCTACTGGTTTTTTCTTATAGCAATAGCCTCCTTATTTGATCTGAGAAGAAATTTTAGTAGAGAAATTGGGACAGTTTCAAGAAGGATTTTAATCTCCCTTTAGTCATGTAAAATATTTCTACTTTTTTATTCACATGGTATCTACATTCCTGTTTCAAGACTTCCTAACCCTGGAAAGATGAGTGTTGCCTAGCTGTTTTATGAAAGGTGTCCTTCCTCAATTTTGACTATAGAAGAGCTTTGGAAGGGAGAGATCAAGAGTAAATAAAACCAAGTCCCAATTCATTGAACACACATGTAAATGAGTTATGCTTTTGAAATGGAAACAGTCTCCTTCAGCAAAGGTTAGACATCAAACTTTGCCCTTAGAATCTGAAAGGCATGCGTTCGTACATTACAAAATAAAGACAGATTAACAGGAGCAACTCTCAGCGAGCACTTGCCATGGGCCAGGCCCTGTCCTAGGTGTCACATATCCATGAACTCATTTAATCCTCACAAGGACATTATTATGCAGCAGTAAGGAGGCAGAGAAGAGGTTCAATAATTTGCCCGGTCTTGCAGTTTGTATGTGATGGTGCTGGGATAGGATCCCAAGTAGTTTTTACCACCAGGCTACATTTCTAATCTGTTGACCCGGGGCCTGCTGTGCAAATCACATATTCTAATCTACATTCGTAAAGCTTCTGAGGCACTGGGTCCCTGTGGGTAGAAAAGAGATGAAAATGGTTTAAAAGAAAAAACAAATGAAAAATACCTGAGCATGACTTCTTTTTACTTGGAGGAGCAGGTCGCACAACAATCAGATATTTAGGCTCCGCATCTGGAAAGAATAATAAATTATTTATCAGTAAAAGTATTTTGAGAACTAGCAGTACTCGCGACAGCACACCCATGTCCTGACTCAGTGTTCCCTAGCTTTAGTCATTGTAACCACAGTGGATGAGAGGACCCAGGAATTCAGAAAAGTTAATACTTCCTGAATATTGTTCAGATTCGTTCCATTTTTAAAACGAAAATTAAATCCAGACTTTTAAAATGGAATGGACAGGGGTAGGGGAAAGGTCTTAAAAGAAAATTAAATCCAGATTTTTAAAACAAAGTGGACAGGGGTAAGGGAGAAGACTTAAAAGAATATTGTTAGACAGATTTTACGCCACATTTCATCAATCCTTTTCTCTGCAAAGAGACTTTTTTTGAAAATCAGATCACATCTATTCTGTTATTCTATCAGGGTCAGCCTGATGCTAAAATCAAAAAAGGAAAATCTTACTTGCATAAGGCACATGGGTCATATTACCTGTTGTATGATCTGAAATTGTTCACTTTTGTGGAAATATGAATATTTATAATGCCCTATTTTTTTTTATCCTGTTTGCGTAACTTAGCCTGTTATCTAACTAGTCATTTAAACAAAGTCACAATTTTAGGTTGCTATAATTTTCACCTAAATTCTGCCAATGGAAAATAATAATAATCCCTTTTCAAAATATTTAGGTTTTAAATAAAATGATGTTTAAACAATTACTATGTGCTAACTCAGTCATAAGCTAACAATTTATCAAATTATCTTTTTTTAAATTGAATTTCCAAGATAAATGGTTGATTTAAAAATGTCTATTAAAGATATAAAAAAATATATATATATTTAAACAAGTTATTTATATACGTATAAATAAGCCAAATACACTTTGGCCATATTAAATAGCATTTTATAAGAAGCTCTCCTGGATTAACTAATTGATGGGTATTATCTACAATATTTCTTCAGTAACTTTGGATCCTGAAACTCATTCTACTCCAAGTTTCATTTGGATGCTATAATCAATAAGAGTTCACCCCTACTTGCTCAGGCAGATCTCACATCTTTGGTTTTTCTTCATTCTAGGTTCAAATACCTCCCTTCCATGAGTTTGGAACAGCGGACTTCTCTGCCCATGGCTTTACAGAGCTGACCGTATTCTCAGCCAGAGGCAATCAAGCAATTCAACTGCCTTTCCTGACTCCAGCCTTTGTCTTTTTCTGGACACCACACACAGCCCTATTTGCTATAACCTGCCACACTAATTACCACTGCATAAAGTAAACCAGGTAACCTCTTGAACAGACTTTGGAGTTTTGCCTGTTTATTATATAGTTGCCTCATGACCACAACCCAGATAAAAGAGCATTCATTGTGTTGGAGTCTCATGTGTTTGAAAGCATATCTTGCTTAGTGAAACTTTTATAAAGGATGCATAACCGAAGTCAAGTTTCCTAGTAGGAATACAATAATCATTTCCTGATTTTATTTGGGATATAAAGCCATATAGGTATTAAGAAATTGCCATGTATTGAGTACTTTCTATGTGCAGGATACCTGTTCAGCACTTTGCATTTGCAACTTAATTACTCCTCATGGCAATGCTACCTAACACATATTATCACCCCAATTTGTAGATGAGGTCACTGTGACAGAGTGAGCTTCATGGGAGTGCAACAGTTACATACATGCCCATGGGGATCAAGGGTCCTAAGTTTGGTTTAGTAACCTGCTGTCACCATAATGAAATTTTTAATATTTTTATCTTTGAATTTATGTTTTGCAAGAGAAGTTTGATGGAACAATGGAGCAGTTGTGTGAGCAGAGGAGATAATAATAGTATGCATAACTGCAGTTCCTCCCCTTCACATACAGCATTCCAGGAGCCCCATTAGCCTAGCATTCCAAAGGACTCATGATGCCTGGGAGCTCAGCGAGACTCAAGGCAGACCAAGGTAAGCATATTATATCTATAACTGAGTAACAGGGTGTGGAGAACACAGACAGCTCAGTGAGGTCACACTGTCCATTCGAACCAGAACTTAGTTCGATGAAGAAAGAAGCAATAGCATTTTAAGAAACACACATGACTAAGGAATCCTATCATATCCTCTCTTATTCATGTTACTTCTATGTTCGCCAACCACTTATATTGAAAATGATGATGTAGAAGGAAAGGGAAAGTTAAAGCAACTCCTAGTTTCTTTTCTTTTCAGTCCTTGCTCACTCATAAGCAAGTTGAAGGCAGAGTATTGGTAGAATGTGCACATATCAAGAAGTGAAGTAAGAAGTTCAGTTAGTTTTGCATATTTTCACTATTCTGCTAAGAATGAAATACATATGCATGTATGAACTACAAAACACAAATTATGATTTTAGTGATTCTGCTTTGGAGTTAAAGGCTCTTATATATACATTTAAAACTAGCACTGCACAATATAAAGATAAATGCAAAATTCATGCCAATAATTTAAAATTTTAATTTTTCTTTATCTAAATGACATTAAAGAGCAAATAAAATAACGCCAAGACAAATTGAGAAAAAAACAGTGGAAGAAAGGAAAAAACTTTATATTTTAGTATCTTGATGGCAATTTTTTCCTGAGTTTGAACCAGGAGCTCCCCATTTTTATTTTGCTTTCGGCTCTGTAAATTATGCAGCTATCTTAATCTAGTCCCCAAAGTATCCTTTCACTAACTCTCTGCAATTCATTTCTAGAAACAGAATTAAATCCCTATTTTTCTTAAATTGTTCTCACTGTGGCAAAGTCTCTTTGAGCTAACCTTTTATTTCCTTCCTTGATACACATTGATTCAATTATGCCTCAGTGGTTTTTAAGAAAAAAGACCTGAAATACTAGAAAAATAACATACATGATCTATGGTTATACAAGCAATTTAAAAGTAATTTTTATTATGATCACAGTCATTTTACATAAAGCAAAGGCTGTTACACCAATTACAAATTGGAAGAGATGTTGGGATCTGGATGTATATGGTGGCCTTCACTGCTCATTAAAAACTTTCGACATTTGTGTATTTCAGCAGTCTTTGCACTTAATTGAGAACACAGACATGGAAATATAAACCAACCAAAAAACAAGATTCCTATTTCTGTACTGCACTATGAAATTCTTTGTGGATTAGTAGCAACCTGGAAATATATACAATTGTAGCCTGATTAGAAATTCTGGCAACACGTGCCAAAATACACTACTTCATTTAAAGAATATGTATGATTAAAATGTCAAGAAAATTCATGTAGGATGAAGTTACCTTAACAGACTTTCCATTGCTAATAGTTAAGCCTATACAATATTTCAGACTAAATCTAATTGGCTTAATATTTTAAATGCCCTATGGTGGAGAATAGGGACAGCTTACTGTTTAAGGAAATCTACTATTGAAATCCTTTATAAGGTACTAGTTTTTTTTGTAATACAAATAATCCATAATTTCTCTTTCACAAATCCCAATTCTCTTTTTTATTAGAGGACATCTGCATTGCAAGCCACGCTGCTTTAGAATACTGTCATAGTGAGGTTTAGTTCTGCCATGCAAGTTTCCACAAAATAAAAAATAAGCCAGGATGATCCTAAAGGAAACCAGGTGAAAGAACTGAAAAAAAAAAGATTTATTTACCCCTACCATCTTTTTCACAATTTGATTTCAAACTAAATTTCTGGGCATGAGCATGGACTCCAGAGCCTGGAATCAAATTCTGCTTAGTTACTAATACAATATGAAGCACTTAATACCTATGTTCCTCAGTTTTCTTATCTGACAAATGGGAAAAATCACAGTACTTAGCCACATAAGGTTCTTAGTTATGAGTAACCCACAGCATTGCCCAACAGACAGAAAGTGCTACAGTGATGTTAGCTATCATAATTTTTTTAGACATTTTTAAAATTTAATTTTTTCCAGTTACAGTTGACATTCGACATTATTTTATATTATTTTTAGATGTACAGCATAATGGTTAGACATTTATATAATCTATTAAGTGATCTTCCCTAATAAATCTAGTACCCACCTGGCACAATACATGGTTATTACAATGACACTTTCCCCTATGCTGTACTTTACATTTTCATGACCATTTTGTAACTACTAATTTGTACTTCTTAACCCCTTCATCTTTTTCACCCAGCGCCTGAACCCCCTTCCATCCGGCAACCATCAGTTTCTTCTTTGTACCTGTTAGTCTGTTAGTTTTGTTTGTTCATTTATTTTCTTCTTTAGAGTCTAAACCTAAGTGAAATCATACAGTATTTGTCTTTCGATGTATTTCATTTAGCATAATACCCTCTAGGTCCACGTTCTTTGTACCTATTAGTCTGTTAGTTTTGTTTGTTCATTTATCTTGTTCTTTAGAGTCTAAACATAAGTGAAATCATACAGTATTTGTCTTTCTGATGTATTTCATTTAGCATAATACCCTCTAGGTCCATCCATGTTGTTGTAAATGGTAATATTTTTTTTTATGGTCGAGTAATATTCCATTGTATATATGTACCTCATCTTATTTACTCAATCATCCATCCATGGAAACTTAGGTTGCTTCTGTATCCTGGATATTGTAAATAATGCTGGTTCCATGTGCATTTGAAAAGAATGCACTAAAAGAATTCTATTTTGGGGTGAAATGCTTGAAACATATCAATTAAATTAATCTGGTCTTATGTGTCATTTAAGGCCTCTGTTTTCTTGTTGATTTTCTGTCTGGAAGATCTATGCATTGATGACAATGAGATGTTAAAGTCTTCTACTATGACTATATTACTGTCAGTCTCTCTATGTCAATCAATATCTACTTCATATATTTAGGTGCTCCTATGATGAGTGCATAAATATTTACAAAGGCAAAATGCTTTTGTTTGATCCTTTTATGATTACAAAATGTCCTTTGTCTTACTATAGCCTTTGTTTTCAAGTCTATTTTTTCTGATATAAGTGTTACTACCTTAGATTTTTTTGTTGTTCTATTTACATGAAATATCATTTTTCATTCCTTTACT